AAAGTAGGTCGATAACCCTCTGCTGTGTTTTACGCTTGAAAAAAAGCAGGTGGAGCAGCCAGGTACAGTGGCCCACGCCTGTAATCCCAGCAGATTGGTAGGCCGAGGCAGGTGGATCACTTGAGGTCACGAGTTCGAGACCAGCCTGGTCAACATGGTGAAACCCTGTCTCTACTAAAAGTACAAAAATCAGCCAGGCGTGGTGACGTGCAACTGTAATCCCAGCTACTCATGAGGCTGAGTCACAAGAATTGCTTGAACCCGGGAGGCAGAAGTTGCAGTGAGCTGAGATTGCACCACTGCTCTCCAGCCTGGGTGAGACTGAGTGTCCATCTCTAAAAAAAAATAAATAAAATGAGGCCGGGTGCGGTGGCTCAAGCCTGTAATCCCAGCACTTTGGGAGGCCAAGGCGGGTGGATCACGAGGTCAGGAGATCGAGACCATCCTGGTCAACATGGTGAAAGCCCGTCTCTACTAAAAATACAAAAAATTAGCTGGGCATGGTGGTGCGTGCCTGTAATCCCAGCTACTTGGAAGGCTGAGGCAGGAGAATTGCCTGAACCCAGGAGGCGGAGGTTGCGGTGAGCTGAGATCACGCCATTGCACTCCAGCCCGGGTAACAAGAGCGAAACTCCGTCTCATTCAGAAATAAATAAATAAATAGATGTTTTTTAGAAAACTGCCGGGCGCAGTGGCTCAAGCCTGTAATCCCAGCACTTTGGGAGGCCGAGGCGGGTGGATCACGAGGTCAAGAGATCGAGACCATCCTGGTCAACATGGTGAAACCCCGTCTCTACTAAAAATACAAAAAATTAGCTGGGCATGGTGGTGCGTACCTGTAATCCCAGCTACTCAGGAGGCTGAGGCAGGAGAATTGCCTGAACCCAGGAGGCGGAGGTTGCGGTGAGCTGAGATCGTGCCATTGCACTCCAGCCTGGGTAACAAGAGTGAAACTCCGTCGCAAAAAAAAAAAAAAAAAATTAGGTGGATCATCCAATCGGTGTTTGGGCTGAGCTGGAGCTTTGCACGTCCCCTCCTGACCCAGCCAGCGAGCCCTCTCCCACTCCCTGCACTTACCCTCTTACTTTTCTGAGACTGGTCTCACTCTCACCCAGGCTAGAGTGCAGTGGTGCGATTGCAGCTCACTACAGCCTCCACCTCCCGGCTCAAGCAGCCTTCCCACCTCAGCCTCCTGAATAGCTGGGACCACAGGTGTACACCACCACACCCGGCTAATGTTTTTCGAAATTTTTTGATAGAGACAGCGTTTTGCCGTGTCACCCAGGCTGGTCTTGAACTCAAGCCTTGGCTTCCCAAAGTGCTGGAATTACAGATGTGAGCCACCACCCCCGGCCAGGGTAGAAGGCACCTTGGAAGCATCCAGCCTGCCCCATTCATCTTACATTAGTAGAAACAGGCATACAGAGGTTTCAAGGTCACAGCCAAATCCAGACCCTCATGTCAGGCTCACTGGCTGCCGTTTCAATGTCCAGTCTTTCTTTTGAGACAGTCTCGCTCTTGTTGCCCAGGCTGGAGTGCAATGGTGCAATCTTGGCTCACCACAACCTCTGCCTCCTGGGTTGAAGCGATTCTCCTGCCTCAGCCTCCCAAGTAGCTGGGATTACAGGCACGAGCCACCGGGCACGGCCCCTCAATGTCCATTCTTAAGTCTTCTTGGCTGTCTGTGGCTCACAGATATTGGGTGTTTGAGCCTCCTGCTTAGCAGGGCTGGGGACACAGTGGTGACCAGCTGTGTCTTCACAAGGCTCAGTGGGAGGAACAGAGCATCCCCAGAGTGGGCAGGATTAGGTTGGGGGAACCCAGGCATATGGAGGGCTTTCCAGGGGGCAGGGTTCACTGAGCGGAGAGCAGAGGAGTGAGCCATTTGCTGCAGCATGAAATTGCTGGGGGTGTGATGGGGTTTCTGGGTGGCGGGAGCAGTGTGGTTGGAGGTCTGGCAGCTGTGGGCCGGTGGCTGGTACTCGAGGTGGCCAGGAACTCCACGTGTACACAGGGTGGGAAGCTGGCACGCCTTTCACCCCAGCTCCTCCCTGCAGGCTCTGTGGACAGCAACTGGATCGTGGGCGCCACGCTGGAGAAGAAGCTCCCGCCCCTGCCCCTGACACTGGCCCTTGGGGCCTTCCTCAATCACCGCAAGAACAAGTTCCAGTGTGGCTTTGGCCTCACCATCGGCTGAGCCCTCCTGGCCCCCGCCTTCCACGCCCTTCCTCCTTCAGACTCCACCTCCACCTCCCCTCCCTTCCCTTCCTCCTCAGGGGTCGGGCGGGGGGGGACAGCGGAAAGGAGGGACCCCGCCACCCCAGCAGCCGAGGAGGGGATTCTGGAACCGAATGGCGCTTCGGGATTCTGAGTACCACGGGCAGCGTGCTCAGGGGGCCTCGGGTCCCGGGAGGGATTCCGGGATTGCAGGGCGTGCAGGATTCCGAGCACCAGGGGCAGAGGCGGCCAGACAGCCTCAGGGAGGAGTGTCCTGGCGGCCCCGTCCTCCAAAGGGCCTGGGCCCGCCCCGAGGGGGCCGCGAGAGGAGCTTCCCCATCCCCGGTCAGTCCGCCCTGCCCCGTCCACTCTCCCATCTACTCGGTATAAATCATGTTTATAAGTTATGGAAGAACCGGGACATTTTACAGAAAAAAATAACAAAAACCAACAAAAAATATACGTGGAAAAAAAAAAAAAAAAAAACCGATGGGAGGCCTCCGTTGATTCCCAAGCCTGGCTGGCCTTGTTTTGAGCATTTCATCCGGAGTCCGGCCCTCATCTTTCCCCCGCCGCCCGCAGGGGGCGCCAGAGGGCTGAAGCACGGAAAGCTGCGGAGCCACACGCCTGGCTTGATGCTGCATTGAGCGCGGCTCAACAGGGGTGCAGCGTGGGCCGGGGTCGTAGTCTCCCCGGCCGGAACATCCACCCTGCAGGGAAACACCAGCGGCCTTCCGTTGCCCGAGGGTAGGTTCTCAACGTCACTCACCCCAGCTTGACCTGGCTGGAGTGGCTACGGAGGACTTTGTCCCTGCAAACTAAAACGGTGCAGATGACACTGAAAGCAGAGATGGGGGCAGGGAGCTAGGTGCGGGTTCAAGCTACTAGGAACGGCTGCAGAATAACTAGGGTTCTAGGAACTGCTGTGTTGGGAAAAAGGGGCTCCAGAACTCACAGGCCTGGGAGAAGGGGGCTGGAGGCCAGACTAGGCTCCTAATGGAGCCTTGGGGGCTGGGTCACACGTGTCTGAGAATGTGGTGCTGTCTGGATTTTGCCAACCTAGGGCTGGGGTCAGCTGACACCGACCACCATCATCCCCCAGCCTCCAAATGGGAACTGAAACCCTCTCTGCCCCCAAGGTCTGGGGAGGGAGGGCTGCTGAGTAGAGCCAACCCCCTGCCAGCCAAAGCAAGCAGGCCCACCCCTGCACTGAGGCCTCCTTTCCAGGACCAGATGTGCAGAATCCTCTGATCCCACCCCCTGCAGGAGCCAGGAATGAATCCCAACCCCTCTGGTTCTCGCTGTGTGGCCTTGCCGTTGACCTCCATGCTGACCTCACTGCTGCACCGCCGGTTTCTCTGAAACATCTGGAGTTTATAACAGGGCTGTTAGGAAAGTGACAGCAACTGAGCGTGCACTGTGGCCTGTCCATCGCTGGCCCTAACATAAGACTGCTGTGTGCCAGGGCTGTCCTCCGTGCTGGGCATACATGCTAGCTTGTTGTCACCAAATGTATCGGTCACACAGCTGGCAACTGGCAGAGCCAGGATTCAAGCCCTGGCAGTTTGGCTCCAGAATCCTAACCCTGTCCCAGAAGCACAGCTTTAAGCCCCTGGAAACCAAAATGCCTGTGCCAGGCTGGGGAGGTGCTGGAATCTCATTTTACATGTGGGGAGGGGGCTCCCCTGTGCTCCAAGTTCACCACCAAACAGGAAGCTATGATTAAAACCAGATCCCACTCTCAAAGCCCGGACTTAGCATATGCATTACATTGTTCCCTGTTCCCACCCCTCCCATCCCACTCTGTTCAGCCCCCATCCCCCGATTTTTTTTTTTTCTTTTCTTTCTTTTTTTTGAGATGGAGTCTAACTCGTGCCCAGGTTGGAGTACAGTGGCACAATCTCGGCTCACTGCAACCTCCGCCTCCCAGGTTCAAGCGATTCTCCTGCCTCAGCCTCCCGAGTAGCTGGGATGACAGGCAACCGACACCATGCCCAGCTAACTTTTGTATTTTTTTTAGTAGAGATGGGGTTTTGCCATATTGGCCAGGCTGGTTGAGAACTGCTGACCTCAGGTGATCCACCCGCCTTGCCCTCCCAGAGTGCTGGGATTACAGGTGTGAGCCACCAAGCCTGGCCTGCCCCCGACTTTTTTTTTTCCCGAAGAGTCAGGCTGGATTGCAGGGGTGAGATCTCACCTCATTGCAACCTCTGCCTCCCAGGTTAAAGTGATTCTCCTGACAGCCTCCCAAGTAGCTGGGATTACAGGTGCCTGCCACCACGTGTGGCTAATCTTTGTATTTTGAGTAGAGCTGGGTTTCCACCACGTCGGCCAGGCTGGATTCAATCCTGTGAGTGAGCTGCCCACCTCAGCCTCCCAAAGTACTGGGATTACAGGCGTGAGCCACCACGCCCGGCTCCTCCCATCCGACTTCTGTCCGGTCCCCTAGCCCCACTTTCTTTCTGGGATTCAGACGTCCAGGTCCCAGCCCCTTCTCCAGAGTGCATTCTTCCTGGCACAGGGAAGGATGGCATCAGGGAAGAACTCTGGGCGGCAGCCTGCGGGTTCCCCTTCCATGGTTGGCCCCCAGAATGGAGGAGGGTGTCTGGATTACTGGGGGGGGGGGGTGTCCTCCCTTCCTGGGGACAGTCGGGGGTGGTCAAAAGGCCTCTATGCCCCCCCTCCTCCCTCTGCCCTGCTGCGCCAGGGGCAGGGGGAGAACAGCCCGCCTCGTGATAGGGGGCTGGCCCAGCCCGCCCTATCCCTGGGAGAGGGGGCGGGACAGGGGGAGCCCTATAATTGGACGGGTCTGGGAGCCTCCAGTCCTACTCAGCCCCAGCGGAGGTGAAGGACGCGTTCCTCGGGAGCTGGTGAGAGGCACAGTGGAGGGCACAGCTCAGCTCAGGGGCCTCGGGAAGCCCTGGCCTCCGGGAAAGAAGTCTCAGGAGAACTGCTTGGGGTCGGGCTGCGGGAGAGGAGGAGTTGGGGGTGAGGCCAGCGGCAGGGGAGTGGACCGGGGCCGCAGAGGTGACCTGACCCGCTAGGTCGGGTGGGGGGAGCAGCTGGACTCGGAGCTAAGCCAAAGCAGGACCCCACAAGTAGTCACTGTCATTTATTGAGCACCTACTGGGTGTCCCCATTGTCTTCTGCCCTCCCTACTTGGGGAGCCAGAGGCAGCGACAGCGTAGCTGGGCGCCGACTGGACAACTTTAAAATGAAGACTAAACTATCAAAACGGAAAACAGCGCTCAGATGTGAGGCTGGGGCTTAGAATGTGAGGGGACAATGAGGAATGCGACGTTGGGACTGAGATGGAACGGGTGGTGGGGAGGGGGCAGGGGTGAAATTTGAACCCTGGGAGAGGAAGATGGAATTTTAACTATGGAGGCCGACCTGGGGGATGGGGAAATGAAAGAAGCCCAGAAGGCAGTTGAATAGGCACTGGGTGGGGGACGGCCTGGTGAATGTCTGTGTCGAGATTAGGCCTTTGCCGATAATAGAGCAAGGCTTTGAAGGCTAGGCTGGGGTGGGGCCGGGTTGGGGGTGGGAGTTCTCACTGGGGCTTGATTGACTTCTCCCCCCCCAGACTGGCCAATCACAGGCGGGAAGATGAAGGTTCTGTGGGCTGCGTTCCTGGTCGCATTCCTGGCAGGTACAGGGGTGGGGCTTGCTCGACTTCCCCGCTTCTCCCCCCCAACCAACCTCCTGGCCCCATTCAGGCAGGCCCTGGGTCCCCTCTTCAGCTGGTCTGTCTTCTCCTTGAAGGGAAAGCTCAGGTCTGAAGCTTCTGAATAGCAATTGACACTCTCTGGGCCTGTTTCCCCAATCCTTGAGATGAAAGTTAGAAGTGTTTTTTATCTTTTTGGTGGGGGAAGGGGGACGGTGGGGGGGGGGGCAGCCTAACTCTGTCACCCAAGCTGGATGGAGTGCAGTGGCACGATATTGGCTCACTGCTGCAACCTCCACCTCCTCCCGGGTTTAAGCTATCCTCCTGCCTCAGCCTCCCCAGTAGCTGAGATTACAGGCACACGCCACAATGTCCAAGTAACTTTTGTATTTTTAATAGAGATGGGGTTTCACCATGGTGGCCAGGCGGGTCTCGAACTCCTGACCTCAGGTGATGTGCCCGCTTCTACCTCCCAAAGTGCTGGGATTACAGGCATGATCCACCGTGCCTAGCTGGGAGTCAGAGGTTTCTAATGTGTTGTCAGGTAGGTAGTGAATACCTATGATGGATCAACTGATCTTTATTCCCCATCACCCCTCACAGCCCTGCGTGGGGCGCACAAGGACACTCAATACATGCTTTTCCATTGGGCTTGCCGGCTCACCCCTGTAATCCCAGCACTTTGGGAGGCCAAGATAGGCGGATCACTTGAGCGCAGGAGTTCAACACCAGCCTGGGAAATGTAGTAAGACCCTGTCTCTACTAAAAATACAAAAAGTAGGCAGGACGTGCTGGCTCACCCCTGCAATCCCAGCACTTTGGGAGGCTGAGTCGGGTGGATCACAAGGTCAGGAGATTGAGACTATCCTAGCGAACATAGTGAAACCTCGTCTCTACCAAAAATACAAAAAAAAATTAGCCAGGCGTGGTGGCAGGCACCTATAGTCCCAGCTTTTTGGGAGGCTGAGGCAGGAGAATCACTTGAATCCAAAAGGCAGAGGTTGCAGTGAGCTGAGATCATGCCATTGCACTCCAGCTCGGGCGAAAGAACGAAACACCGTCTCAAAAAAAGGCCAGGCGCAGTGGCTCAAGCCTGTAATCCCAGCACTTTGGGAGGCCGAGGCGGGTGGATCACGAGGTCGAGAGATCAAGACCATCCTGGTCAACATGGTGAAACCCCGTCTCTACTAAAAATACAAAAAAAACTAGCTGGGCGTGGTGGCGCGTGCCTGTAATCCCAGCTACTCAGGAGGCTGAGGCAGGAGAATTGCCTGAGCCCAGGAGGCGGAGGTTGCGGTGAGCCGAGATCGCACCATTACACTCCAGCCTGGGTAGCAAGAGCGAAACTCCGTCTCAAAAAAACAAAAAAAAAAAAAGAAAGCCAGGTGTGGTGCCCCACACCCGTGGTCCCAGCTACTCAAGAGGCTGAGGCAGGAGGATCGCCTGAGTCCAGAAAGTCAAGGCTTCAGTCAACCATGTTCAGGCTGCTGCACTCCAGCTGGCCGACAGAGCAAAACCCTGTCTATAAATAAACAAATAATGCTTTTCGCCAGGGGCGGTGGTTCACGCCTGTAATCCCAGCACTTTGGGAGTCTGGGGCAGGTGGATCACAAGGTCAGGAGATCGAGACCATCCTGGCCAATATGGTGAAACCCCGTCTCTACTAAAAGTACAAAAAATTAGCCGGGCGCGGTGGCTCAAGCCTGTAATCCCAGCACTTTGGGAGGCTGAGGCGGGTGGATCACGAGGTCAAGAGATCGAGACTGTCCTGGTCAACATAGTGAAACCCCGTCTCTACTAAAAATACAAAAATTAGCTGGGCATGGTGGCGCGTGCCTATAATCCCAGCTACTCAGGAGGCTGAGGCAGGAGAATTGCCTGAACCCAGGAGGCGGAGGTTGCGGTGAGCCGAGATCGTGCCATTGCACTCCAGCCTGGGTAACAAGAGCGAAACTCCGTCTCAAAAAAAAAAAAAAAAAAAAAAAAAAAAAAAGTACAAAAAATTAGCCAGGCATGGTGGTGTGCGCCTGTAGTCCCAGCTACTCAGGATGCTGAGGCAGGAGAATCGCTTGAACCCAGGAGGCGGAGATTGCAGTGAGCCGAGCTCAGTCCTCTGCACTCCAGCCTGGGCGACAGAGTGAGACTCCGCCTCAAAATAAATAAATAAATCTCGCTTTTCAAGCGATTAAGCAGACTCCACCCTCACCCTGCTCACCATGGCTCCAAAGAAGCCTTTGTGGAGCACCTGGGTGCCTGGCTGGGGGCAGAAGGACCCTGACCCACCTTGAGATCGTTCCACACAGGATGCCAGGGCAAGGTGGAGCAAGTGGTGGAGCCGGAGCTGGGGCCGGAGCCGGAGCTGCACCCGCAGGCCGACTGGCAGAGCGGCCAGCCCTGGGAGCTGGCGCTGGGTCGCTTCTGGGACTACCTGCGCTGGGTGCAGACACTGTCCGAGCAGGTGCAGGAGGAGCTGCTCAGCTCCCAGGTCACCCAGGAACTGACGTGAGTGTCCCTGTCCCGGCCCTTGACCCTCCTGGTGGACGGCTGCACCTCCCCAGGGTCAGGTTTCATTAAGTCTGTCCTGTCATTAATGCCTGGGCGTCCGGGCCTCTGCAGGTTCCAGCTTCCTCTTCCCATGTCTGACTCCCGGCTTTAGCTCTCCGGGATTCTCTCTCTCAGCTCTGTCCCTCCTCCCTTCAGACGCAATCTCTCACACTGTCCTTCCCTAGCTCTTTTGTATGTGTGTGTATGGTAAGAGAGAGACAGAGATGGGGTCTCACTGTGTCGCCCAGGCTGGTCTTGAACTCCTGGGCTCAAGCGATCCTCCCGCCTCGGCCTCAGAAGTTCTGGGATTAGAGACGGGAGCCACCTCGCCCGGTCTGCGCGCCCCTTCTTGGTCTCTGCCTCTGCTCTCTGCATCTGCCTGTCTCTGTCTCCATCTCGTGGCCTCGGCCGCGTTGCCCCTGTCTCCTTCTTCGGGTCTTTCCGGCTCATCCCCATCTCGCCTGCCCTCGCGCAGCCCTTCTCCCCGCCTTCCCCTGTGCACACACCCACTCTCGGCGCAGGGCGCTGATGGACGAGACCATGAAGGAGTTGAAGGCCTACAAGTCCGAGCTGGAGGAACAGCTGAGCCCGGTGGCGGAGGAGACGCGAGCCCGGCTGTCCAAGGAGCTGCAGGCGGCACAGGCCCGGCTGGGCGCGGACATGGAGGACGTGCGCAGCCGCCTGGCGCAGTACCGCAGCGAGGTGCAGGCCATGCTGGGCCAGAGCACCGACGAGCTGCGGGCGCGCCTCGCCTCCCACCTGCGCAAGCTGCGCAAGCGGCTCCTCCGCGACGTCGATGACCTGCAGAAGCGTCTGGCCGTGTACCAGGCCGGGGCCCGCGAGGGCGCCGAGCGCGGCGTCAGCGCCATCCGCGAGCGCCTGGGGCCCCTGGTGGAGCAGGGCCGCGCGCGGGCCGCCACCGTGGGCTCCTCCCTGGCCAGCCAGCCGCTGCAGGAGCGGGCCCAGGCCTGGGGCGAGCGGCTGCGCGCGCGGATGGAGGAGGTGGGCAGCCGGACCCGCGACCGCCTGGACGAGGTGAAGGAGCAGGTGGAGGAGGTGCGCGCCAAGCTGGAGGAGCAGGCCCAGCAGATGCGCCTGCAGGCCGAGGCCTTCCAGGCCCGCCTCAAGAGCTGGTTCGAGCCCCTGGTGGAAGACATGCAGCGCCAGTGGGCCGGGCTGGTGGAGAAGGTGCAGGCCGCCGTGGGCGCCAGCGCCACCCCTGTGCCCAGCGACAATCACTAAGCGCCCAGGCCTGCAGCCAGGGGGACCCCACTGCACCCCGTGCCTCCTGCCTCCGCTCAGCATGCAGCGGGAGACCCTGCCCCCGACCCAGCCGTCCTCCTGGTGGGCCCCCGTTTAATAAAGACTCACCAAGTTTCACCGCAGCTGCTGGCCTCCCTGTGTGATTTTCTTTAAGCGCCAGCCTCAATTTCTCTTTCTGTCCGCACACTGGCCACACAGTTCTCAGCCCGTCCTCCCTCTCTGTGTCTTAGACGGCGTCTGGCTCTGTCACCCAGGCTTAAGTGCAGTGAGTGGTTCCGTCTCAGCTCACTGCCATCTCTGCTTCTTGGGTTCAGACGATTCCCTTGCCTCACCTTGGGTTCAAGCAACTCTCATGCCTCAGTAGTTAGGATTACAGGCTGGTGCCAACATACCTGGCTGATTTTTGTGCTTTTAGTAGAGACGAGGTTTCACCATGTTGGCCGAGCTAGTCTTGAACCGACCTCAGTCTCCCAACATGCTGGGATTACATGGACATCTTGCCCGGCCTCTGCCCCTCTTCCCCCCCGCCACCCTTTTTCCTTTTTCCGGAAACAAGGTCTCACTCTATTACCCTAGATCACAGCTCACTGCAGCCTCCACCTCCTGGACTCAAGTGCTCCTCCTGCCTCAGCCTCTCCAGTAGCCGAGAGGACAGGCGCCCACCACCAGGATTAATTTGTGTGGTGTGTATGTGTGGGTGTAGATGGGGTCTGGCTTTGTTGCCCAGGCTCCTGTGGAACTCCTGGGCTTAAACGTTCCTCCCACCTTGGCCTCCTGAGGAGCTGGGACTACTGGCTAGCACCACCACACCCGCTTATTGACTTTTACTCTTTGTAGAGATGAGAGGTCTCACTGTGTTGCTCAGGCTGGTCTCCAACTCCTGGGCTCAACCAATCCTCCCCCATCGGCCTCCCAAGTGCTGGGATTCCAGGAGTGAGTTGCTGTGCCCAGCCTGCCCATCTTAATAACACTGGCTCCTCCGAGTTGCAACCCCGAATGAGCTGAGACTGGTGCCTTTATTCTGAAGCCATTTTTACTTTTTTCTGCTGTCTTTATTCTCCCTCCTTCTCTCCTCCAGTCTTACCTGATTTCTGCCTCCTTCCCCGGCCCGTCCTCCCCCCTCCCCCCCCGCCCGTCCTCCCCCCTCCCCCCCACCCGTCCTCCCCCCCCCCCGGCCCCCCATCTCCTCCCCCTCCCCCTCCCTCACTGTCTCTCCATGCTCTCCTTAGGAGATGTCACTTTCTGGCTTCCTGTTTTCCTCCACCTCTATCTTTTATCTCTCCCTCCTACAGTTTCTCTCTCCCAGGCCTGCTTTCTCCCTCCCTCCACCCCCCCACCGCCCCCCCCACCCCCGCCTTCTGCATCTGGGTCTGTTCCTCCGCCACTCAGTTTTGTTTGAGCCCCTTGCTTCTCCAGTTCCCTTCTAGCTAGCTGTCCCTTCACCCACTGGGAACTGGGCTTCCCTGCCCCAACCCTCATTTTCTTTCCTTTTTTTTAACAGAGTCTCACTCTGTTGCCCAGCCTGGAGTGCAGTGGTGCAATTTTGGCTCACTGCAACCTCCTCTTCCCAAATTCAGGCGATTCTCCTCCTTCGGCCTCCAGAGTAGCTGGGATTTCAGGCATGCACCACCACACCCGGCTAGTTTTTGTATTTTTGGTAGAAATGGGGTTTCAACAAGTTGACCGGGCAAGTCTCAACCTCCTGATCCCACGTGATCTGCCTGCCTCAGCCTCCCAAAGTGCTGGGATCACAGGCATGTGCCACTGCACCCAGCCTATCCCTCATTCTCCATCCTTTCTTCCAGCTGTGATGGCCACCCTTCGTGTTTCCCAACAAGCCTACTGGGTGCTGAGCCCAGGCTGGGAAGAGAAGGGAGCGGCTCCTTCTATGGAAGGCTGCACCAGGTCTCATGCTGTGATGAGATCCGCTCAGAGCAGATCACCTGAGGTCAGGAGTTGGAGACCAGTCTGATCAACATGGTGAAACCCTGTCTCTACCAAAAATACAAAAATTAGCCGGGCATGGTGGTGAGTGCCTGTAATCCCAGCGACTCAGGAGGCTTTGGCAGGAGAATCACTTGAACACAGGAGGCAGAGGTTGCAGTGAGCCGAGATCACGCCACTGCACTCCAGCCTGGGGGACAGGAGCGAAACTTTGTCTCAAAAAAAAAAAAAAAAAAAAAAAAAGCCGGGCGCGGTGGCTCAAGCCTGTAATCCCAGCATTTTGGGAGGCCGACGCGGGTGGATCACAAGGTCAAGAGATCAAGACCATCCTGGCCAACATGGTGAAACCCCATCTCTACTAAAAATACAAAAAATTAGCTGGGCATGGTGGCGCGTGCCTGTAATCCCAGCTACTCAGGAGGCTGAGGCAGGAGAATTGCCTGAAGCCACGAGGTGGAGGTTGCGGTGAGCCGAGATCGCGCCATTGCACTCCAGCCTGGGTAACAAGAGCGAAACTCCGTCTCAAAAAAAAAAAAAGAGAGAGAGTTGGTGCTCAGAGAGGGGAAGCTTGGATGAAAGCCTAGGAGCCGCCGGCACTATCCTTCCCTCCCACCCCCTCAGTTCTCAGAGATGGGGAGCAGGGTTTCTACCAGCGGGGGACAGGCCAGGACTTGAGGCTGTATCTCGTGGGCCAGCTGCAACATCTGCATGTTCCTCTGCCCGTCTTGCACACCCCAGACTCAGTGCTTTCCCTGGCGCTGCTCCGATCACCCACGTGGAGGCAGCTCCCCTCCCCCAGAAATGACTCACCAGGGCTGAGTGAGGAGGAGAAGGGTCAGTGTGCTCACAGGCAGGGGGCCTGGTCCCCTGGGCCTGCTGCTGATTCAGGGTATGTCCAGGGGCTGGGGCAGCACTCTCTCAGAGCCTCCGTTTCCCCAGATGTCAACGAGGGGAGCAGCGTCAGCCACATCTCCCATTTGAAGAGTTGACCCTTGAATTCTCACGTATAAATAATTCTTTTTGAGACAGTGCCTTAATCTGTCGCCCAGGCTGTAGTGCAGTAGGGTGCTCACAGATCGGTGCAGCCTCCAACTCAAGTGACCCTCCTGCCTCAACCTCCCGAGTAGCTGAGACCACAAGCACCCACCACTATGCTGGCTAATTTTTTTTTTTTTTTTGAGACGGAGTTTCACTCATTTCCCAGGCTAAGGTGTAATGGCACAATCTCACCTGACTGTAACCTCCACTTCCTGGATTCAACAGATTCTCCTGCCTCAGCTTCCCAAGTAGCTGGAATTACAGGCATGTGCCACCATGCCCGGCTGGCTGATTTTTTGTATTTTTAGCAGAGAGGGGGTTTCACCATGTTGGTCAGCCTGGTCAATTCCCGATCCACCCACCTCGACCTCCCAAAGTGCCGGGATTACAGGCGTGAGCCACTGCACCCAGCCACATTTTAAAATTTTTTGTAGAGATGGGTCTTACTAAGTTGCCCAGGCTGATTTCAAACTCCTGGGATCAAGCAGATCCTCTTGCCTCCGCTTCCCAAAGTGGTGGGATTACAGGTGTGAGCCATTGCACCCAGCTGACCTATGAAGACTTCTAAGCAGACAGAGCGCCCTATGTCACCACAGCTGTGGTCAGATCTAGAGGTGGGACAAGGATGGGAAGGAGGTTCCAGAACAAAGGCCGGCAGGGAGTCCCATGGGACAGGAGCTGACCCCAGAAACGGTCCTGAGAGATATCCTGGATCCTGGAAGGAGACAGACAAAGAGCTCCCTCTTTATATTTCTTTATTTTATTTTATTTTATTTTATTTATTTATTTATTTTTTTGAGACGGAGTTTCGCTGTTGTTACCCAGGCTGGAGTGCAATGGCGCGATCTCGGCTCACCGCAACCTCCGCCTCCTGGGTTCAGGCAATTCTCCTGCCTCAGCCTCCTGAGTAGCTGGGATTACAGGCACGCGCCACCATGCCCAGCTAATGTTCTGTATTTTTAGTAGAGACGGGGTTTCACCATGTTGACCAGGTGGTCTCGATCTCTTGACCTCGTGATCCACCCGCCTCGGCCTCCCAAAGTGCTGGGATTACAGGCTTGAGCCACCGCGCCCGGCTATTTTATTTATTTTTTTGAGACTGAGTCTCACTCTGTCACCCAGGCTGGAGTGCAGTGGCGCAATCTCGGCTCCCCGCAACCTCCACCTCCCAAATTCAAGCGATTCTCCTGCCTCAGCCTCCCGAGTATCTGGGACTACAGTCTTGTGCCACCATGCCCAGCTAATTTTTGAATTTTTTTGGTAGAGACGAAGTTTCACCATGTTGGCCACGCTGGTTTCAAACTCCTGACCTCAAGTGATCCGCCCACCTCGGCCTCCCGAAGTTGTGGGATTACAGAGGTGAGCCACCGCGCCCGGCCAACAGCTCCCTCTTTGTCCCTTGCTGAGCCCTACTGAATGTTCTTCATTGTGCGTCAGTTTCCTCATGTGTAAAACAGAAACCCCTATAGCAGAGGGTGGGAGGATGAAAGGCAGGAGCTTCGCAGTTCTATTCTTGTGGGGTCAGGAGGTGGAGCAGCAGGAGCACTGCTATTCTATTCTTGTGGGGTCAGGGAAGCAGACATCTGGGTGGATGTCTGGGGACTGCTGGGCTCAGTTGGGGAAGTAGGGGGCCCTCTGGGGCTGACAGGGACTGGAAGCTCTGAGCTGGCCAGAGAGATGTTGCAATTCTGCCAGGGTCTTGTCTATGCGTCCCTTTCACAACCATCCCCCTACCGCCAGGCTGACACGTGGTTGTGGGGGCACAAGGCCAGCCAACCTAGAGTTTGAGGCTGGGCCAAGGCCACCCTCCCCACTAGCTGCCAGGGTCACTGGCGGTCAAAGGCAGCTGGTGGGGAAGGCATTGGACTCCAGCCCAGGGGGACGGATGTGGTGATGGGGGGAAGCGGGCTTGGTGCCAGGAGGGGCCTCAGAGGGTGAATAACAGTAGATAGAGTGTTGCAGGGAGGTGGCCAGGCAAAGGGGGTGAGGCCTGGTGGAAGGAAGAAGGGGCATACATTTAAGCTTTGCAGCTGAGGGTTTTAATTTTTGGAGATGAGCCTCACTCTGTCCACTAGGCTGGAGTGCAGCAGCAAAATCATGGCTCACTGTAGCCTCGAACACCTGGGCTCAAGCAATCCCCCCACCTCAGCCTCTTGAGTAGCTGGGACTACAAGCATGCGCCACCACACCTGACTAATTTTTAAATTTTTTTGTAGAGATGAGGTCTCTCTATGTTGCTCAGGCTGGTCTTGAACTCCTAGGCTCAAGCGATCCTCCCACCTCGGCTTCCCAAACCACTGGGATTAAAGGGATGAGCCGGCCCCTTTAAACCACCCCCGGCCAATGCAGGTGAGGTTTTTGCGGTGCCATCCAGCTAAGGCAACCCCTTCCCCTCACAAAAAAGGGAGACTGAGAATTATAAAGTTAAGAGCCAAAAGCAGGCCAGGGGCAGTGGCTCATACCTGTAACCCCAGCACTTTGTGAGGCCAAGGTGGGTGGATGACCTGAGGTCAGGAGTTCGAGACCAGTCTGACCAACATGGAGAAACCCCGTCTCTCAGTTCATCTACTTGATTAAAGAGAAAGGAAAAAAGAAGAAAAAAATAAAGAGAAACCCCATCTCTACTAAAAAAAAAAAAACAAAATTAGCCAGGCCTGGTAGCACATGCCTGTCATTGCAGCTACTTGGGAGGCTGAGGCAGGAGAACTGCTTGAACCCAGGAGGCTGAGGTTGCAGTGAGCCAAGATCATGCCATTGCACTCCAGCCCAGGCAACAAAAGCAAAACTCAGTCTCCAAAAAAAAAAAGCCCAGAGAATATGAGGGTGGTCTGGGGACTTTAAGGGCTGGTCTGAAAGAGATGGGAAGTGGCACTCAGAGTAGGAGTGTGGGGCCAACCCGGAGACCCCGGCAACATAAAGAAAAGTTGGGGCTGAGGAGACTTGCTAAGAGAGGGGAAGTGGAGGGAAGAAGAGGTGGTCTAGGGACACAGTGTGAATGAGGCGTGCATGAGCTCACAGGGTTATTACTGGGAGCCCCCTGAAGGAAGATGGCCACAGGGACAGAACCAGGGTGCCCTCTGAGTGGGAAAGCGGGCAATGGCAGTCTGAGGATGCCCCAGAGTCAGGAAGATTGGGAGGTGAGGGTGCTGAACGGTAAGAGGCTTTGGGGCTAAAGGAAGCGCCTGGGACCTCACCTGACCCCAACGCCCACGGGCCAGGGGCAGAGGAGAAAAACGTGGGTGGGCAGAGGGAGGCAGGCAGCCAGGGGAAGGCGCAGGAGGAGGGAGATCAGCATCAACCTGCCCCGCCCCCTCCCCAGCCTGATAAAGGTCCTGCGGGCGCCGGGACCTCCCACCCGAGCCCTCCAGCAAGGATTCAGGTTGGTGCTGGCTGCCCGGGAGGGACGCCCGCCTCCCCGCCGCAAGAACTCAAAAGAGGAGACCAGGGAATCTTGGAGGGAGGGAGGGAGGGAGAGGGAAGGGTGCCGCTGATCGCCTGCACCCCTGCCTCTGCCTCCAGAGCGCCCCTCCGGCCCCGCCATGAGGCTCTTCCTGTCGCTCCCGGTCCTGGTGGTGGTTCTGCTGATGATCTTGGAAGGTAAAAGTGTAATAGAATTGGGGTGTTGGAGATGTGCAAGAGTGATGGTGGCTACAGGCCTGGCGCCCTGGCTTAGGGGACCTCTGAGCGCTCTGGGGCCCCTTCTGGGTCGCGGTTGCCCGGTCGTGGTCGGGTAGATCTGCAGGTTCTCCCAGGCTCAGTCCTGCAGGCTCCAAATCTGCCCAGGAGAGCCCTAGCAACCGATGGCGTATTGACGCCTGCCCCTCTGGGATTGGCTGTCCTGCTTCTGTAGCCTTGAAAGTGGGTGAGCGGGACTGGGGGCTGTAGGAGGGGGGTCAGGGCTGAATAAGGCAATTGCCAGCAGCTTGAGCCCCACCCGGTCACTCCAGTATCCTCTCCATTCTAACAACATGATCCCCAAGAATCTCCCGGGATCCTATCCTAAAGGGATTCCAATAACAAATGTTTGGCCAGGCTCGGTGGCTCACGCCTGTAATCCCAACACTTTGGTAGGCCGAGGTGGGCAGACCACTTGAGGTCAAGAGTTCGAAATCAGCCTGGCCAACATGGTGAAACCCCGTCTCTACTAAAATACAAAACAATTAGTCCGGCGTGCTGGTGCACACCTGTAATCCCAGCTACTCAGGAGGCTGAGGCAGCAGAACTGCTTGAACCCAGGAGGCGGAGGTGGCGGTGAGCCGAGATCGCGCCATTGCACTCCAGCCTGGGTAACGAGAGCGAAACTCCGTCTCAAAAAAAAAAAAAAAAAAAAAAGAATTTGTACCCCTACCCATGTTCCTGGCAGGCCCAGGCCCAGCCCAGGGGGCCCCGGAGAGCGTGGAGGCCTCCAGCGGCTTGGATAAGCTGAAGGAGTTTGGAAATAACCTGGAGGACAAGGTTCGGGAATTCTTCAAACGCATCAAAGAGAGTGACATTCCTGCTAAGACTCGGTTAGAACCCTTCCCACTGGAGGGCTGGGTGTGTTTGGGTGGCGCCCTGGAGGACGGGCCAAGACGAACAGATTGAAAAAAAATAAGTCCCAGAGAGGATGACACCTTCCCTCTGCTCACACAGCTAGATCTCAATCAAGGTGCTCAGACTTCAGGCACAGTTTCCTCAACTCCTATCCAGAAAGAAAGAAAGGAAATGAAGAAGGAGGGAAGGGAAGGGATGGAGGGGGGGAGAAAGGAAGAAGGAAGGAAAGATACATCTAGTCAGGCCTAAACTTAGAAAGATTGTTTGGAGGCTGGTCACAGTGGCTCACGCCTGTAATCCCAGCACTTTGGGAGGCCGAGGCAGGTGGATCACCTGAGGTTGGGAGTTCGAAACCAGCTTAACCAACATGGAGAAACCTCTTCTCTACTAAAAATACAAAATTAGGCTCGACGCGGTGGCTCACGCCTATAATCTCAGTACTTTGGGAGGCTGAGGTGGGTGGATTACCTGAGGTCGGGAGTTCGAGACCAGCCTAACCAACACGGAGAAACCCAGTCTCTTCTAAAAAAAAAAAAATACAAAAAATTAACCAGATTTGGTAGCGCATGCCTGTAATCCCAGCTACTTCGGAGACTGAGGCAGGAGAATGCTTGAACCTATGAGGTAGAGGTTATGATGAGCCAAGATGGCACCACTGCACCCCAGCCTGGGCAACAAGAGCAAAACTCCATCTCAAAAAACAGAAAGATTGTTTGGAGGGAGACCCAAAGGTCCTAAGGCAAAAAGGCTGATAGGTAATCAAGAGAGGGTGTTGGCCGGGCACGGTGGCTCAAGCCTGTAATCCCAGCACTTTGGGAGGCCGAGGCGGGTGGATCATGAGGTCAAGAGATCGAGACCATCCTGGTCAACATGGTGAAACCCCGTCTCTACTAAAAATACTAAAAATTAGCTGGGCATGGTGGCGTGTGCCTGTAATCCCAGCTACTCAGGAGGCTGAGGCAGGAGAATTGCCTGAACCCAGGAGACGGAGGTTGCGGTGAGCCGAGATCACGCCATTGCACTCCAGCCTGGGTAACAAGAGCAAAACTCCGTCTCCAAAAAATAAAAATTAAAATTAAAATTAAAAAAAGAGAGGGTGTTAATTCAGGCAGGGAACAGTCTGGCCATAGGCAGTGAGGCTGGAAAGTACCTTTGAATGAGTAGGGGAACAGCTCGGGCAAGGGCAGGCTTGAAGAAAGGGTTGGTAGCAAGAGATGGCAGGCATTGAAATCCAGGCCAGGGTGAAGTGGTGAAGTGTGTCTTTTTTTTTTTTTTTTTTTTTTGAGATGGAGTTTCACTCTTGTTGCCCAGGCTGGAGTGCAGTGGTGCGATCTCAGCTCACTGCAACCTCTGCCTCCTGGGTTCAAGCAATTCTTCTGCCTCAGCCTCCTGAGTAGCTGGGATTATAGGCGCTGGCCACCACACCTGGCTAATGATTCCTTCTGGGTTTTTTTTTTTGTTTTTTTTTTTCCGAGACAGAGTCTCAATCTGTCTCCCAGGCTGGAGTACAGTGGCCTGATCTTGGCTCACTGCAACCTCCACCTCCCAGTTTCAAGCAATTCTCCTGCCTCAGCCTTGTAAGTAGTTGGGACTGCAGGTGTGGGCCACCACGCCTCACTAATTTTTGTATTTTTAGTAGAGATGGGGTTTCACCATGTTGGCCAGGTTGGTCTCGAACTCCTGACCTCAAGTGATTTGCCTGCCTCGGCTTCCCAAAGTGCTGGGATTACAGGCGTGAGCCATGCCCAAGCAAGGGTAAAGGGTTTAGATGTGTGTTGGTCCATCTGGGAAACTGAGGCACAGAAGCCGGCCCACGCAGCCCAGCGGTCCTCCTCATCCCACAGACAATGAGGATGGAGATTCAGCAAGGAGAAGACTGGGAGTCAGGTAGCAGGTAGAAACTGGGCAGCCCAGAAGGTAGCTGCACAAAGTGACCCCTTCCTTATTCCTCCCCACAGGAACTGGTTTTCAGAGACACTGCAGAAAGTGAAGGAGAAACTCAGGATTGAATCATGAGCACCTGAAGGATGATACCCCAGGAAGGGCTCTGAAATTTCCCACACCCCAGTGCCTGTGCTGAGGACTCCCTCCATGTGACTCCAGGTGCCCTCAATAAAAATCCTACAGAAAATTCTGAGTGCTTCCTCACTGTGGATAGGGGTAGGGGCGGCGGGAGAGGGTAGCGGAAGCATCTTAGGGACTCCTCAGAAGCCCTCCAATGCTCCATCTGTTTGCCCTGTGCTGAGGATGTTTTAAGTTCATAGTCTCAAAAGAGTCTTCCTAAGAACCTTGCAAATTGGGCCTTATTAATCCCAGCAGGGCATTGAGATCCAGAGAGGTGAATTTACTTGTGTAAGGTCACACAGCCAGGAAATGGAGAACTGGAACTGGATTGAACCCTCAGCCCGGCAATATCACTATGTTACACTGTCCTGGTGTGATCTACCTGAGATGAGGGGCTGAGGGTTTTTTTGTTTTGTGGGGGTTGTTTTTGAGATGGAGTCTCGCTCTATTGCCCAGGCTGGAGTGCAGTGACAAGATCTCGGTTCACTGCAACCTCCACCTCCCAGGTTTAAGCAATTCTCTGCCTCAGTCTCCCAAGCAGATGGGATTACAGGCACTCACCACAACGCCCAGCTAATTATATGTGTATGTATGTGTGTATATATATATATATATATATATATTTATTTATTTTTTTTTTATTTTATTTTTTTTTTAAAGATGGGGTTTCACCATGGTGGCCAGGCTGGTCTTGAACTCCTGATCTCAGGTGATCCATCCACCTCGGCCTCCCAGTGTGCTAGGATTACAGGTGTGAGCCACTGCGCCCAGCCATTTTATATATATATATATATATATATATATATATATATATATATATATGTGTGTGTATATATATATATATATATATTTTTTTTTTTTTTTTTTTTTTTTTTGAGACGGAGTTTCACTCTTGTTGCCCAGGCTGGAGTGCAATGGCACGATCTCGGCTCACCACAACCTCCGCCTCCTGGGCTCAGGCAATTCTCCTGCCTCAGCCTCCTAAGTAGCTGGGATTACAGGCACGCACCGCCATGCCCAGCTAGTTTTTTGTATTTTTAGTAGAGACGGGGTTTCACCATGTTGACCAGAATGGTCTCGATCTCTCGACCTCGTGATCCACCCGCCTCGGCCTCCCAAAGTACTGGGATTACAGGCTTGAGCCACCGCGCCCGGCCGCCATTTTTTATATTTTTAATAGAGACAGGGTTTCACCATCTTGGCCAGGTTGGTCTTGAACTCCTGACCATGTGATCCACCTACCTCGGCCTCCCAAAGTGCTGGGATTACAGGCATGAGCCACCATGCCAGGACTGTTTTTTGGTTTTGTTTGTTTGTTTTTTTGAGACAGAGTGAGACGAGACTCTGTCCCCCAGGCTGGAGTACAGTGGCACGATCTTGGCTCACTCCAACCTCCACCTCCTGGGTTCAAGGGATTCTCCTGCCTCAGCCTCCCTAGTAGCTGGATTACAGGCACACGGCACCACACCTGGCTACTTTTTGTATTTTTAGTAGAGACAGGGTTTCACCATGTTGGCCAGGCTGGTCTCCAACTCCTGGGCTCAAGCAATCCTCCTGCCTCGACCTCCTCTCAAAGTGTTGGGATTACAGGCATGAGCCACATGCCCGGCTCTCATGTAAAATTAAACCACATAAACATGTGATACAACCCTATGTAATTAAGATTTCTTTTTCCTTTTTTTTTTTTTTTTTTTTTTGATGGAGTCTGGCTTTGTAACCCAGGCTGGCGTACAGTGGCATGATCTCCACTCACTACACCCTCCGCTTCCCTAATTCAAATGATTCTCCTGCTTAAGCCTCCTGAGTAACTAAGATTACAGGCATGTGCCATCACGCCCGGCCTATTTGTTTTTGTATTTTTTTTTTTTTTTTTTGAGACAGAGTTTCGCTCTTGTTACCCAGGCTGGAGTGCAATGGCGCGATCTCGGCTCACCGCAACCTCCGCCTCCTGGGTTCAGGCAATTCTCCTGCCTCGGCCTCCTGAGTAGCTGGGATTACAGGCACGTGCCACCATGCCCAGCTAATTTTTTGTATTTTTAGTAGAGACGGGGTTTCACCATGTTGACCAGGATGGTCTCAATCTCTCAACCTCGTGATTCACCCCCCTCGGCCTCCCAAAGTGCTGGGATTACAAGCTTGAGCCACCGCGCCCAGCTGTTTTTGTATTTTTAGTAGAGACAGAGTTTCACCATGTTTACCAGGCTGGTCTGGAACTCCTGACTTTGAGTGATCCACCCACCTCGGCCTCCCAAAGTGCTGGGATTACAGGTGTGAGCCACTGCACCCAGCTTAAGATTTCATAAGAAAAATATTTGTAAACCACATATCTAATAAGGGATTAATATTCAAAATATATAAGGGACTCCTACAATTCTAGTAGAAACATCAAACACTGCAGCCACTGTGGAAAGCGGTATGCAGGTTCCTCAACACATTAAAAATAGAACTATCGGATGATTCCGAAATCCCACTCCTGTGTACTTATTCTAAAGAATTGAAATCACTCGGGGCTCGGTGGCACATGCCTGTAGTCCCAGCTACTCAGGAGGCTGAGGCGGGAGAATCGCTTCAGCCCAGGAGGTGGAAGCTGCAGTGAGCCGAGATCAAGCCACTGCACTCCAGCCTGGGCGTCAGAGTAAGACTTCACCTCAAAACATAAAAGGAGCCGGGCACGGTGGCTCAAGCCTGTAATCCCAGCACTTTGGGAGGCCGAGGCGGGTGGATCACGAGGTCAAGAGATCGAGACCATCCTGGTCAACATGGTGAAACCCCGTCTCTACTAAAAAAAAATACAAAAAATTAGCTGGGCATGGCGGTGCGTGCCTGTAATCCCAGCTACACAGGAGGCTGAGGCAGGAGAATTGCCTGAGCCCAGGAGGCGGAGGTTGCAGTGAGCCGAGATCGCACCATTGCACTCCAGCCTGGGTAATAAGAGCAAAACTCTGTCTCAAAAAAAAACAAAAACAAAAACAAAAAAACATAAAAGGAAATCCTGAGACTGGGCACAGTGGCCTGTGCCTATAATCCCAGCACTTTGGAAGGCTGAGGTAGGAGAATCACTGGAGTCCAGGAGTTTAAAACCAGCCTGGGTAACACGGTAAAACACTGTCTCTACCAAAAAAAAAAAAGAAGAAAGAAAATAAATAAATGTATCTTTTTTTTTTTTTTTGAGACGAAGTCTCACTCTGTTGCCCAAGCTGAAGTGCATTGGCCCAGTCTCGGCTCCCTGCAACCTCCACCTCCCGGGTTCAAGCAGTTCTCTTGCCTCAGCCTCCCGGGTAGCTGGGAATACAGGCACACGCCACCATGCCCAGCTAATTTTTTTTTTTTTTTTAGTAGAGACGGAGTTTCACTATGTTGGCCAGGCTGGTCTTAAACTCCTGACCTCATGATCCGCCTGCATCCGTCTCCCAAAGTGCTGGGATTACAGGTGTGAGCCACTTCCCCCCACCAAATGTATCAAATGTATAAATATTACTCTCAAAGGCCGGGCGCGGTGGCTCACGCCTGTAATCCCAGCACTTTGGGAGGCCAAGGCGGGTGAATCACGAGGTCAAGAGATCGAGAACATTCTGGTCAACATGGTGAAACCTCGTCTCTACTAAAAATACAAAAATTAGCTGGGCATGGTGACGCGTGCCTGTAATCCCAGCTACTCAGGAGGCTGAGGCAGGAGAATTGCCTGAACTCAGGAGGTGGAGGTTGCGGTGAGCCGAGATCGCGCCATTGCACTCCAGCCTGGGCAACAAGAGCGAAACTCCATCTCAAAAAAAAAAAAAAAAAAAATTACTCTCTTGGCTTAATGCATCCCCTTTTCCCCCATAATCAACCCTCCAAGCTCCAATACTCTCCTTTCTTCTCACTCAGCAGCCTGTTAGAACTCAAGTCAGATTTTTTTTTTTTTTAAGTAGAGTCTCACTCTGTCATCCAGGCTGGAGTGCAGTGGCACCATCTCAGCTCATTGCAACTTCTGCCCCCTGGGTTTAATCGATTATCCTGCTCAGCCTCCCGAGTAGCTGGGACTTCAGGCGTCTGTCACCACGTTCAGCTAGTTTTTGTATTTTCAGTAGAGATGCGGTTTTGATATGTTGCCCAGGCTGGTCGTGAACTGCTGAGCTCTAGCAATCAGCACTTCTCTGTCTCCCAAAGTGCTGGGATTACAGGCCTGAGCCACAGAGCCCAACCCCAAGTCAGATTATGCTCTTTCTCTGCTCAGAATTCTCCTGACTCTCTCAGAGTAAACCAAAAGAACTTATCAAGGCCTACAAATGGACGCCTCCCTGCCCACGATCACCTCATCCCTGTCTCTCCATCACTCAGAAGCAACTGCTCACTACTCCTCCAATCTCCAGTGTACTGGGCAGGCTCCCACCTCAGGGCCCTTGGAGTTACTGTTCCTCGTGCCTGGAATGATCTTCCCCCAGGGGTCCAGAGCTCTGCCTGGCTGCCTCCTCATCCTCACTTTCTCCAGTTCTCTTCCAAAATCATCACCTGCCGGACGTGGTGGGACATGCCTATAATCCTAACACTTTGAGAGGCCAAGGTGGGAGAATTGCTTCAGCTCAGGAGTTCAAGACTAGCCTGAGCAACATAATAAGACTCCATCCCTCCTAAAAATAAAAATAAAAATTAGCTGGGCATGATGGTGCTCAGCTGTGACTCCAGCCACTTGGGAGGCTGAGGTAGGAGGATCACTTTGAATCAGGGAGGTTGAGGCTGCAGTGAGCCATGTTCTGAATTAGACAGTGGTGATGATTGTGCAACCTTGCCAATGTAGGAAAAACCATTGAACTGTATACTTTCAAAGGGTAAATTTAGCCGGGCATGTGGCTCACGCCTCTGTAATCCCAGAACTTTGGGAGGAGGCAGAGGCAGAAGGATTGCTTGAGCCCAGGAATTGGAGACCAGTCTGGCCAACATGGTGAAACCCTGCCTCTACTAAAAATACAAAAAGTAGCTGGGTGTGGTGCTGTGTGCCTGTAATCCAGCTATTAGGGAGGCTGAGGCACCAGAATTTCTTGAACCTGGGAGATGGAGGCTACAGTGAGACGAGATTGCCCCACTGCG